AGAAAGAACACATTTTAATGACATCTTCTGAGCTCCTGTGTCAGTGCTAACTGAAGTCAGACTACCCCTGGATTTCAGGATCCAAAGCATTTAGCCTGGGTGCTGGCATAGCATCCATTCTGAGTTGTACCCTTTGGAACAAACCAGTGAATGGAAGTTAGTGTTTTCTTGAGTGCAGTGAGTTTCCAAGTGAATTATTAAATCTGAATAGCTAATCTATGAGAATCCCTGTTTGTAACCAATTTTGGTCAACAAAGTGAGTGGTGTCAGGACCTGACACTTGCAATTGGTGTCTGATGTGAATGCAGGCTTGCAAAGTCAGCTCCAATCCTGAGTAGTTGATGTCAGGACTGAATTGAATTGAATGGTGGTGGAACAGCTGCCATTTATATTCTAGATGCAAGTCCCTCCCAGGACGGCATGTGTACAAATATTTTCTCCCTGCTTATAATTTGTCCTTTCACAGAAGAAAGACCTAAAACTTGATCAAGTCCAGTTTATAATTCATTTTGTCATGGGTTATATTTTTGGTGTTAAGTTTAAGAACTCTGCCTAGTCCTAGTCTTCAACGTTTTCTTCTTTTTTTCTCCTTTCAAGAAGTTTTATAATTGTGAATGTTACAACAAATCCTTCATTCTATGTGAGTTTTTATTTGTTTCTTAAGCCAGTACTGGGGCTTAAACTCGAGATTTTTAACTTGTTTTTTGCTCAAGGCTGGTACTCTACCATTTGAGCCACAGCTCCTCTTCTTGCTTTTTTAGTGTTAGTGTGTGTGTGTGTGTGTGTGTGTGTGTGTGTGTGTGTGTGTGTGTGTGTGTGTGTGTGTGATTAATTGGAGATAAACGTCTCAAAGAATTTTCTTCCTGGAGGGCTGTCTTCAAATAGTAATTCTCCTGATCTCGGCTGCCTATTTAGGACTTACAGACTTGAGCCACCAGTACCTGGTGAGTTATTATTATTATTTTATATGAAGTGTAAGGATCCGGTAAAGACCTTTTTTTATTATTGAGTAGGGTTTCCAGTTCTGTGTTAGCAGAAGAATAGAAATAGGAGACATTCTCAATCTTAGAAGAAAAGCATTCAGTCTTAAGTGATCATCTTTAAAAATGATGGTGGCTATAGGTTTTCATTTTCCTTTCTATTCTTATTTTTCTAAAAGTTTAAAGAGTGAAAGACAGATTTGCCAATAACCTTCTATCATTAAATCATGATTTTTATTTGACATATAAATATGATGAACTAGCCTTGCATAACTTTATTATTCAAGTTGAGGTATATTATTATTTTTAAGAAAACCTTTTATATTGGGCTGGGAAGGTGGCTCAGTGGTAGATTGCTTGCCTTGCATGCATGAGGCCCTGGGTTCGATTCCTCAGCACCACATAAGCAAAAAAGAAAAAAGCCAGAAGTGGCGCTGTGGCTCAAGTGGTAGAGCGCTAGCCTTGAGCTGAAGAGCTGAGGGACAGCGCCCAGGCCCAGAGTTCAGGCCCCACGACCGGACCCAAAAATAAAAAAATAAACAAAAAACAAAGAAAACCTTTTATAGTGCCATACATTACTTGTAAAAAAGAGGATTTCATTCATTAGTAATCACTTCCTAAATTATTACGCTGACTTGCAAAATGGTTTTTTAATTTTACCATTCATTCTGCACTTATTAGCATTCATCTGTAGTTTTCCTTCTTTTATGCTCTCTCTATGTACTTAGTGCTTCAACTTGCTATAATCTATGATTATCATTTTTTAAAAAATTGCTTGTTGCTGGGGCCCCAGTGCCTCACACCTATAATCCTAGCTACTCAGGAGGTGGAGATCTGAGGATCGTGGTTCAAAGACAGCCCAGGCAGGAAACTCTGTGAGACTCTTCTCTCCAATTAACCACCAGAAAACCAGAAGTGGTGCTGTGGCTCAAGTGGTAGAGTGCTGTGCTAGCCTTGAGCTGAAAAGCTCAGGGACAGCGCTCAGGCCCAGACAGAGTTCAAGCCCCACGACCAAGCCCCCCCCCCCAAAAAAAAGAAAAAAGGAAGGAAGAAAGAAAGAAAAAAAGAAAGAGCAAAATTGTAGTTTCATTGGCTCAGTGATGACCAATGGAAGCCCATTCCACTGTGTTCTTTGGTTCCGTGGGTATGATCTAATTTTATCTGTGTATAAAAAAAAGACTTGTCAGGCTCCTTTTGTACTCATCTTGTCCAAGAATAAGAATTGGCCTCTTTGACAATGAACCTGTCTAGCTTCCAGTTCTCTGTCTCCCTGATCCAAATCGATCCCCTCTGTCCTGTTTGGGGATGCCAGAGTTGAATCTTGCCAACATGACGTTAGCTGGCATGCTGTTGAGCTTTGTCAGTAGAGGGCGCTGGAGGGACACTGCAGAGCTGGTCCTTTCAAGCTGGTCTGCTGTCCTTTCTTGTAAGGTTCTGCTGCCAGCATTGTACACACAAAGTACCAAGGGTACTTAGTCGCCAGCTCCCTTCCTGCTCAGGAATCCTGCCCTTGGTTTCCTGCTCACCAGCTTTGGCCCTCTGGTAAGTATTCTATTCTATTCTATTCTATTTTGTTCTGTTCTGTTCTATTCTATTCTATTCTATTCTATTCATTATTTTTGTTGGTCGTAGGGCTTGAACTCTGGGCCTGGGCGTTGTCCCTGAGCTCTTCAGCTCAAAAGTAGCACTCTACCACCTGAGCTACAGTGCCACTTCCGGTTTTCTGGTGGTTTATTGGCGATAAGAGTCTCACGAACTTTCCTGCCCAAGCTGACTTTGAATCATGATCCTCAGATCTCAGCCTCCTCAGTAGCTAGGATTACAGGTGTGAGCCACTGGCACCTGGCAAGTATTCTATTTAACAATCTGCCCACCACTGTGGCCCTGCTGTGCTGGTGACTGTGCCCTGGGCTTCAGCTACATCCTTTCTAGTGATTGTGAATCTTAACTTTCAGGAGAGGATCTCCTTTGCAAAATCTTTGAGTATTCTCATCTCAAATTTAATCTTATGTATGGTGTGATGAAAATTTGTCATTGATCCTCTCAGGCTAACTCCATATTTCTTGTTAATACTACTTGGTAGCAAAATTTTCTTGCTTAAATTACTGTTGTGTTTTCTATCTTGTGAATGAGCTTGAACTGATGGAAAAGTAGTACAGGAGTGGCCTTTGAATGGAACCTGGATTGCAAGATGTCATTCTAGTGTTTAGTTGCTCTGCCTTTGGATTTGAGCACAAGGATAGCTAGCTAAGCAGCCTGCATGTGGGAAATGAATGAATGTATTCTATGACATATGGGGAGAGCACAATTAATCGCTGTTACTTTTAGTTGCTTGACACTGGACCACTTGAGCAAGCTGTATTACCAGCTCCGCCCACTGCATTTTACCTGGTGACATCTACAGAGATTGTCTCATGTGTTTGTCTGATATGTTAATAGTTTCCTTTAAAATTGAAATATGGGGGGATTATTTTGATGGTGTAAGATACAGATCCAACTCTTTCTTTGTCCAAAGACAAATTCTAGATGCTCAGGGATCTGATATCCAACCATTCAATCTTATTTATTGAAAACTCCATCTTTTCCCAAGTGGTATTAGATCTCATAATATGTCATGTCATTTCATATTGTCTGAAAGTATGATGTTATGTCATGTTATATATTAGAATAGATAAATATAGATTGGTACTTTCATACAGTAATTGCCACATGAGCTTCAATCTATTTCTAGCCTTAGTGTTCTCTTCTATGGACAATTGTTCATGTGCCAGCCCACAATGCTTTTATTATAGAGACTTTATAGTATATTTTAATATTCATGAAGGCTAATCTTCTCTTACTGCTGTCATTCTTATATACTTATTTTCCAACTTTAGAATTAGCTTGCTTTATTCCTGGAAAAAAGTTTACTTTTACTTTTTACTCTTTTTTGTGTGCTAATCCTGGGGTTTGAACTCAGGGCTGAGTGTTGTCCCTGAGCTTTTCTTTTTTCTTTTTTCTTTCTGTTTTTTTTTGGGTCTGGTCTTAGCGCCTGAACTCTGGGCCTGGGCGCTGTCCCTCAGCTATTCAGCTCAAGGCTAACACTCTACCACTTGAGCCACAGCGCCACTTCTGGCTTTTTTCCTGCTTATGTGGTGCTGAGGAATCGAACCCAGGACCTCATGCATGCAAGCGCTCTACCACTGAGCCACCTTCCCAGCCCCTCCCTGAGCTTTTCTACTCAAGGCAGTGCTCTACCACTTGAACCACAGCTCCACTTCTGGTTTTGGGGGTAGTTTATTGAAGATAAGCATGTCCAGGACTTTTTTTTTGCTTGGGCTGGCTTCGAACTGAAATCATTAAATCTCAGCTTCTTGAGTAGCTAGGATTACAGGCATGAGCTACCAGCCCTTGGCTTACTTTTATTGTTTATTGGAATCCTGATTTTTATATAAACATATATATTACTTCAGGAGAACTAATATCTTTTAACTGTTGTATAGTCCTTCGACAAAATAAGTGCTAGCTAGAATGGTTGTGTTCACCTATAGCTCCAAGCACTTGGGAGGCTGAGGCAGGAAGATCACAAGTTCAAGCTCAGCCTGGGCTACATAGTAATGCCCTATTGCAAAAACAAAACAAAAAAAAAAACAGATATAGCACATGCTATGTTGTTGGTTTTTTCTGTAATATTTTAATTTTCCTAGCATACTTGTGGCACATTTCTTATTAAGCATTTTATCTTTTTGTGTCTGTATTAATGATGTATCTTCAAGTGTTACTGTCAACCTAGGAAGAAAAGTCTTTGAGACTCCAACATCCAATTAACCACCAAAAATCTGGAAGTGAAGCTGTGGCTCAAGTAGGAGAGCACTAGCCTTGAGTAAAAAAAGCTAAAGGACAAGTGCCTAGGTGCTGTGTTCAAGCCCAGGACTAGCACATACACACACACAGACATTTAAAAAAAAAGTTACTTTTTGTGAATTCCAAGGCAAGCATGGAAAACCAATAAGAAAAAGCAATTAACACCAGGGAACTTGCTACATTCAAGGTAAATTTATTCACACAATGATCACAAGAAACTTAAAAACAGTTATTATAAGGAGATAAAATGCTATATAGTGTCTCTTTTGAAAGCATGAGATAGTATTTTGTTGGATTTTACACACATTTCTATTTATGATTGAGTAACAAACACTAAAATGTAGTGATTGTTGGAATTTTGATTGCTTGCATGGAAAGTATATGCTGAAGCTTTTAGGTTTAAAAGGTCTTACCAGAAACAACAAACTAATGATTAAAACAGTATTTCCACATACATATATATTTACTCACTGCACTGAGAAATATGCGTTATACTTTTAATTCTCTATAATGTGTTTTTTTTCTTTTTAATAAAATTAAAGCAAGAATTTTAATTCTCTTTTTAATTGACCTCCGAAGATGCACTGTCTAATTCATGAGAAATGCGAAAGTTCTGATGTTTATCCTCAATACTTCTAGGGTCTAGGACCAGCATGTCTTCCTGGCTAAGAAACTCACTGCTATGGAGCTTGTGGCTGACCTTTGAACTTCCCAGGCTGTCAGGCCCATCAGGCTTGTATTTGGATTTCTTAGATCCAGAGGAATGATCACCATTATTGTGGTTGTTGTTGTGTGATTCTGAACCTTTTGATTCTGAACGGCGTAATTCTAAACCGTGTTGTTCCAACTCATGAGTGTCCCATTCAGTGGGGAAACTGATATGATGAGGAATGGGAATGACCTTGAGTGTATCATGGGGCTTGGATTCCCAGTGTGGGCTAAAGTCCTCGTGTGTAATATGAGGAATGGGGATGACCCTGAGTGTGTCATGTGACTCCTTGTGCTCCGAGTGTTCATCATGCGACTCCTTGCCTTCCTTGCCTTCCTTGCCTTCCTTACCTTCCTTGCCCTCCTTGCCTTCCTTGCCTTCCTTGCCTTCCTTGCCTTCCTTGCCTTCCTTGCCTTCCTTGCCCTCCTTGCCTTCCTTGCCCTCTTTGCCCTCCTTGCCTTCCTTGCCTTCCTTGCCTTCCTTGCCCTCTTTGCCTTCCTTGCCCTCCTTGCCTTCCTTGCCCTCTTTGCCCTCCTTGCCTTCCTTGCCTTCCTTGCCTTCCTTGCCTTCCTTGCCTTCCTTGCCCTCCTTGCCTTCCTTGCCCTCCTTACCTTCCTTGCCCTCCTTGCCTTCCTTGTCCTCCTTGCCTTCCTTGTCCTCCTTGCCTTCCTTGCCTTCCTTGTCCTCCTTGCCTTCCTTGCCCTCCTTGCCCTCCTTGCCTTCCTTGCCCTCCTTGCCCTCCTTGCCTTCCTTGCCTTCCTTGCCTTCCTTGCCTTCCTTGCCTTCCTTGCCTTCCTTGCCTTCCTTGCCTTCCTTGCCTTCCTTGCCTTCTTTGCCTTCTTTGCCTTCTTTGCCTTCCTTGCCTTCCTTGCCTTCCAAGAGTTCATCTGCTGGCTCATGAAGAACAGGGATGACCTTGAATGCATCATGGGACTCCTTGCTTTTCCTGTGTGAGGTAAGGTCCACCTGTGAAGCATTAGGAATAGGGATGAAATGGTATGCATCATTAAGACTCCTTGGCTTTAAAGTGTGGACTAAAGTCCTCATGAGTGGCAACAGGAACAACGGGATCCTTGCTCTCATGTGTGAGGATTCCCCAGGTGTATCATCAGGATACAAATCACAGCACAAATGGAAGAAGAATTAAATGGCCAGGCAGGGGTGGGAATATTAAATATTTTTCTTTTTTTTTCTCTCTCTCTCAGGTCAAATTCATCCTGAATATGGTCCAAACTTGGTTGAATGAAAACCTGTTAGCATATTCTATGTTCAAATCTCTCTTTTTTTACTAAGGTGACACATTTAGTTTAATCACTTAGGTATGTGACAAAACTTATGGGGTAGCCTCAATATTTCTTATTTACTTAAAGAAAATGGGCATTGAAAGTTAAAATGCAGGAGCCAGATTACATCTGTGATCCAAGCTCCCCTAGAGACAGAGCTCTGGAGGTTCCAGGTTTGAGCTCAACCCAGACAAAGAAGTAACATCCCTAACACAACAGCAAAAAAAAAAAAAAAAGTTGAGCATGGTGTTATGTGCCCGATATGCCAGCTACTCAAAAAAAAGCGTAAGTAGGAAGATTGTAGTGCAATGTGGCCATCCTAAGCAATCAAAAATCCTGTGAAAGCTTGCCTAACAAATAACTAAAGTAGGGGCTGGGAAGGTGGCTCAGTGGTAGAGCGATTGCCTTGCATGCATGAGGCCCTGGGTTCAACTCCTCAGCACCATATAAGCAAAAAGAAAAAAGCCAGAAGTGGTGCTGTGGCTCAAGTGGTAGAGCGCTAGCCTTGAGCTGAAGAGCTGAGGGACAGCGCCCAGGCCCAGAGTTCAGGCCCCATGAGAGGACCTCCCCCCCCCCCCCAAAAAAAAAGAAATAACTAAAGTAAAAGGTCTGAGGGTGTGGCTCAAGTGGTAGAGCTCTTGGCTAGCAAATATGATGCCCTGGGTTCAAAACCCCAGTAATATACACTTTTACTCCCTCCCCACAAAGAAGGAAGAGAAAATTAAAATGTAGAGTAAACAGTAATGGCACACCAAATTGGATTGGAATTTTTGTGTAGATTCAGTGTAATTTATGATGCTACAACTTTTCTTAGGTATATTTTATATTTTTCTTAGGTATATTTTATAAGTAATTTCCCTTTTCTGAAATCTTTCTAGATTAAAAAGTCAGGTGAATATAATGAATGTTTTAGAGTCAGCATTTGGAAAATCAAGTAAAATTATGCTGTGGAGACAAATGGAAAGAAGACTGTACTAAAGATCATAAATTAAATACTAAAAATGTTTTTGTGTTTGCTGAATGACAGCTGAATATGCACAGCCTGCATTCCAAGAAGTGAGCTCTGCTTAGAGCCATTGAACGTATCTGTGAAGGGACTTACCTGAACATTAGTTATGTCCGAAGATTTAGACTTCTTCCCATCGGGAGCATTGCTATCTCCATGGCTTTCGAGTGTGCTCACTGCAGGGAAAACTGGAGTGAAGACCGGGGTCTCCAGTGTGAGAGGAGGAGGCAAACTGATCACTTCTTCAGATTCATGGGAGTGGTGAGAGTTTTTGTGGTGTTCGTGGTGATTGTGGTGATCATGGTGGTGTGAATGGTGCTCATGATCATGATCACTATCATGATCGCTTTCATCTGACTCAGTGAAGTCTTGGCTGTCCATGTGGTTTCCAATATCATCCTCATTCAACTCATCCATGTGGCTTTCATTGGGATTACTTGAGAAGGTCTAAGAGTTAAAGATGATCCCTCAGATTAGGGCTTGAGTTTGGTTTTCCCTTAGTCTTTCTAGTCTTTTACTTGCTTGCTTTTTTATTTGGTATCTTTTTTGTGTGTTTAAGAACACCTATAGCATTTAGGAGCAAATCAGTTTAATAAAAGAATGAATGAAATCAGGGATTTTCCTATTTCCCAATCCAGTAATCCTACCTACTCAAGAGTCTGACATCTGGGGGGCAAGGTTCAAAGCTAGCTCAGGAAGAAAAGTCTGTGAGGCTCATATCTGATTAACCACTCAAAGGCTAGAAGTGGAGCTATGGCTCAGTGGATAGTATGTCAATCTTGAGCAAAGAAGCCAAGCAAGAATGAAAGCTCTGGATTCAAGACTCAGTTCTGGCATACACATACACAGTTTTTACACACATACACACATAATTTTTACAAGTATTTTAAATCCAAATACCTAAGTAAAACATCTATATTGATACTATTGCTTTGGTCTGAGGTACTTGATGTATAGTTCAGTGATACAGCACTCTCAGGCCTTGGGTTCAATCCCCAGTACCACACACACACACACACACACACACACACACACACACACACACACATATGCACACACACACAAGGAGATTGTTGATAAAATTAATAATAAAATGTGCAAGAATACTTGCATAATTCAGACATGATGTAGTTTGATAAACTCAGTGGAATAATAGATACAGACAAATGTCATTATTCTGTGTGAAATGAAAAGTCTCAAGGTAACTAAGAATCTATTTTACGTGTATCAAAACCTATAACCCCTCCCTACTACTCCCTACATGGATGGTCAAAAAGTAACTACAGTTCAAATCTGGGCATTGAATTACACAGTATATTAAATTGTAACAGTAAATATGTTAGGTCCTTTTCTACTTTTCTTTAAGAATTCTTAGCATCTTCAAATGGAATCTTAAGGAAAATATATTTACTTTGCTCAGTAAATATATTCATGATCCTAGTTAAAAAGAATACTTCAGAAAGCATTGTGCTAGAAACAGGAACATGCTAATGGAAAAATCCTAGCTTTGGGATACATTAATGCCGTATTTTTCAGATATTAGATAAACATTTAGAATTCTTTCGGTAAATTGTAGGAGGCTTAAAGTTTCAAGTGATAGACCTGGATAGACAGTTCCTGCAACACCAAACTTATCCGAAGTATCTTCCATTTCTCACATTTAGTAAATGTAAGGCCTTTTTAAAAATTTTTTCCTGAACAGGTTTTGCAATGGAGATTAGTTGGAAAAATTGTGAGTGGTACTTTGTCAAAGAGGGCCAGGGCCTCCTTGTCTCCAGTGACAGAACTGTAAAACCCCAGGGAAACTCACCTCTGGTGGCAAGACATCAGTTTCTTCAGAGGACAGCACATTCTGAGGAGAGAAGGACACATTAATACATTACATACAATACATATTAAAAATGCCCAGTTTTCTGATACAAAACCAAAGCCAGTTTTCAGCCTCAGTAGGGATATCTTTCAACACAAGAATCTAACCAGGGGATTATTTGGTGATCTAGGCACATATGCCCCACCAGGTGGGAAATCCAGTTGACCTGTCAGAAACCCCAATAGACAGCTTAGTTGCTGTCTATTGTTTAGGTTTGCTTTGGGTTTTTGTTGTTTTTGCTTCTGGTGCTGGTAGTGGAGCTTGAACTTGGAGCCTGAAGGCTGTCCTTCAGTGATTTTACTCAAGACTAGCACTCTACCACGTAAGCTCTACTTCTAGCCTTTTGGTTGGAGATAAGAATCTTACTGACTTTCCTGCCTGGGCTGTGTTTGAACTGTAATATTCAGATCTCGGCCTCCTGAGCAGTTCAGATCACAGCTAGGATTACAAGGAGCCACCGCTCCCGGCTTACTGTTTAATTTTAGGAAATTTAGAAATACCTGTGATGCTAGGAGATTATTCTTCTCAGACAGATCAAGCTTTAGCCATGAGGCTTCAGAATCTGGATATTTTTTGTTAAAAAGCTGTGAAAGAAAGAAAAAGAAAGAAAGGAAGGAAGAAAGAAAGAAGGAAGGAAAAAAGAAAGGAGGAAGGAAGGAAGGAAAGCAGGAAGGAAGGAAAGAAGGAAGGAAGGAAGGAAGGAAGGAAGGAAGGAAGGAAGGAAGGAAGGAAGGAAGGAAGGAAGGAAGGAAGGAAGGAAGGAAAGAAAGGTGAATCTTTGTCATTGGAACAACCCTAAACAACTCAAGGATCTCAACTTGATAAACTGGAAAAACAATGACACTTTGCTAATCCCAGTGTATAAACACATTACGTGTTCATATTCAGCCAGATACAGATATCCTTTTTTAATAAAACAATTAAAAACATATTTATTGTAAAGGTGATATACAGAGATGTTACAGTTATGTAATTCAGTTAATGAGTACATTTCTTTTTAAACAGTGTTACCCCATCCTTCATTTTTCTCCCAGTTTTTTTTTTCCCTCCAGATCCCCATTTCCCTCCAAGTTGTACAGTTCAACATTTCTAACATAGTATCTAGTATCCCACTGCTTCTGTACTTCCCCTTCCACTCCCCAATTCAGGCAAACTAACATACAAGACAAAGGGTACAGAAATCAAAAACTGACCAAAGGGGAAAAAAAACAGAAATAAAAAAATGAAAAGCAGGGGCTGGGAAGGTGGCTCAGTGGTAGAGCGCTAGCCTTGAGCTGAAGAGCTGAGGGACAGTTCCCAGGCCCAGAGTTCAGGCCCCACGACCAGACCCAAAAAAAAAGAAAAGAAAAGTATAAACAGTACAATAACAAACCTCTTGTTTCCTTTTCTTGTAGTTCTTGTCAATAAGTATCTTTTCTTTTTTGCCAGTCCTGGGACTTGAACTCAGAGGCTGGACACTGTTCCTGAGCTTCTTTTTCTCAAGGCTGGCACTCTATCACTAGAGCCAAGGCACCACTTCTGGCGTTTTCTGTTTATGTGGTACTCAGGAATTGCAGCCAGGGCTTCATGCATGCTAGGCAAGCACTCTACCACTAAGCCACATTTCTAGGCCGATAAGTATCATTTTATAATGATATAGCTATTGAGCCTTTCTGATTCTCTCCTAATAATAACTTCCTTTGGTCTCACTGTATGACTGAGTCCTGTTTAATTTATCATGTCCAAATGTAATATTTTTTATTTTTTTGTCTTTTACTATTTATCAGGTTTCACAATTCATTTTTTTAAACCCTTCGTGTCGGGGGCAGGGGCATGCGCACCTGCCAGTATAGAGGATTGAGCTCAAGGTCTTGAACTCTTGCTTGACTTTTTTGCTCAAGGCTTATAGCAGTTTTCTGGTTAATTGGAGATAAGAGCCTCTAAGAGTTTCCTGCCTGAACTGGCTTTGAACCTTGATCCTCAGATCTCCTCTCCTGACTAGGATAATAGCCATGAGCCATCAGCACCAGACTCATTTACTGAATTCTTAATAGCACTAATAGTGTCTTAGGCACTTTTTCAAAAGACTTTATAAATACTAGTTCATTTGATCCTCTGAAATGCCGTGAGATAGACCACACTATTTTTTCTATCTTACCACTCAGGAAGCTCAGCCACAATGTGGTTCAGTGGTAATAAGAGGCCGAGCCAGCCACCAGGCCAGATGAATTCTCTGTCTCTGTGTCTTCTGTATGTGTGTTCATGTGTTGGTGTGTGTCCACGCATGTTTGTCTCTGTTGCAATCTCTCTGCTTTGTATGTGTGTATGTGTTCATGTGCACATGTTTCTCTCTCACACACACTGATGGTACATGTAATACAAGTTCAGGAAAACCAACTATTAGTTAAATTCATAATTTAAAAATAATATAGAGGAAACATATATAGACATATATGTCTGTAAAATGAACATATTAAAAGTATTGAGCAATCTAACACCAACAGCTAGTGCAGCTAGTGCTCATCTTCTGGGTTCTAACCTTACAGACTTTTCTGCACTTGCTCTGTCAGAGTTTCTGGGATTCTAAAGGGCTGACTGAGACTTGAACTCTTCACCCCAAGGCTCCATGGTTCTATATCCTTGCCATATTTTATTCTATTTTTACAAACATTAGTTCTTGCCTTTAGTTTGGCCTCTATCTTACCAGGAAATGTTACATTCCTGGTTCATTATTGTGATTAACACCTGTGTTATCAAATGAGATAGAAAACGGATGTGCCCACACTTCCACTCCCACACAGACCATATACAAACACCTCTTACTGTCTTCATTAAGCCAGAAAATCCATGCCTACAGTGACCCCCAGGCAGCACAACATTGGCATTCATTATGTTCATCTGGAATTGAACTCTCTGTTCTCTTTTGTCTTTGCTCCAAGGACAAAGCTCACTTGTTATTTGGCTGGCACAGTTTTATCTATTGTGGAGGGGCAAGTACACGGATGATGCTGGCCAAATTATTGTAATGAATAAAGAATTGGGTTTGGTCTTAGGCTTAGTTAGAAAAATGTCAGCAGATAAGCACAATAGGTACAAATGGCACAAATAGACTTTCTTTTCACAATGAGCTCCTTAGTAAATATCTTTGTGGGCATACTAACAGTTCTGGCCAGTGTTTGAGGTGAATTTTAAACTGTTTTACTTAGTAAAGCAGCAAGTAACATTTTCTGTTTCTAGAACATGTTGACTCATGAAAAAGTCACACACATTTATAAAACTCATCTGATATGAGCACTGATAACATGGAAAGTTGTTTTAAATATTCATAAGTCTAATTAACAAGCCTATATTACAGTAGATAGTGGATAAATACTTAAAAATTAACCATATTGAGGGTAAAGTGATTAGCAAGCTTGATTTTAATAAGCAATTTTTGTAGCACCTCTTGGAATAGTTGCATAAATGCTTGCATGGAATGATAAACCCAGAAAATGCCTACCTGATTTTCCTCAGAGCTGCCAGACTCAATCTGTTTAACATTGGAAAGAAGAAAGGAAAAGACAAATAATGTTAATGTATTCTTAGCATAATTCATTGATGCTTTTCAAGAACTTTCCCTAAGATTCTGCTGTACTTACTGGCAGGGAATGGGTAATGCCTATGAGGCAAAAGAAAATCACTTCAATTCTCATGATTGTGATTTTTCCTGGAAAACATTTGAAAGGAACATTTAATATGGTTAACAGATAGCTTTTTCATACTGCTGTATGACAAAATCATCACAAGCAAAGATTATTATAGTGGAACTTTTCTACTTCTTACAGGACACTTTTCTTTTTACTGTGACGTTCTTTTGAGTTAGTATCTGCAGTTTCCACCCTTCTCTCTCACTTGACAAGGGACAGGGGAATTTTACACATCTATAGTTACTCAACTTTAAATTTAGAGTTCCAGAGATTCTACCATTACTCACTTATATTTCCAGCTACAGAAACCCCAAAACAGATCAGAAAGTAATTTAATAAATTCAAATAATAAACTAACCCAAGAATACATTTTTCAAGGAAGAAAAGAAAACACAGATATAAAATTATGAAAGAAATTTGTTTTGTCCATTTTTCTAACATGCATTTTAGATGTGATTTTTAGTTTAAATTATTAAGAGGGTGCTACTTAGGTGAACTGATAACCATTTTGGAAGTTAGCTATTTCAGAAAAATACTTTAGAAATTTTAAGTGAAAAGGAAACAAACAAACAGCCAGCAACTTTTCTATTTGTGATAAGAAGTCTACATAGTGCCAAGCAGGTTTCTTGGTGAAAATTTCAACAGATTAATTCAAAAGTTAGATATTAAGAAAGGGCTTTGAGTTTTATTTTCCTTGAAAATAAAATAAATTAACTCATTAAAAACTAACAGTATTGATGGCTTACATTATCAAAGATGATCCTTCTTTTATCTGCCTTCATAATAACTACTGAAAGTGATGTTGCTATAATTAATTATTCCAAAGAAGCATAGAATTTTCCCTTTTTTCTATTGAGAACAGTGATTTCAGTCTTTTTGGAGAAGGATAGAAGTTTTTTAAGATTATATGCATATTTTTGAAGTATTTCAAAATACCTGGAAACTTTAATGTATATGTGTATATACATATACACACACACACACACACACACACACACACACACACACACACACACACACATGACCTGCTTATTGGAAAGACTATGAGAATTCAAGACTGACTAACAGCATTACAGCCAAAATAATCTTCCTAAATCTTCAATTTCCCCATTCAATTAAAAAGCATATGCCCAGCTACACAGTGCTAGAGGCTTACCTTGGCCAGTGAAAGTCAGAGCCAGAGGATGCTGTGCTCCCTGCCTGCTCCTGCTGCTCACAGGCCAGACCTCCCAGAATTTAAAGGTTGCTCCATACACTCTCCACCAACACAGGGAGGCGGAGTGATGTGTCAGGAGGTTTTTGCCACTGCCCAGCCCACTTGCTCCCACACTTCCTCTTCTGGAATTGTGATTGAAAAAAAAATAAACCAAAATACTAAACCAAACACACACACACACACACATACACACACACACACACACACACACACACACACACACACACACACACACACTTCTACAGCTAAAACATTAGTTGTATGCTTTTCATAGGTAGAATTGAGTGCTTTAAATAGTTCTTATGAAGATTTTATTTACAATTTCTGAGTTAATAGAAAAATATCTAACAAATTAAATAGGATGGATTTTTTTTAGTTACAGATGAAGTTTATATCTGCAACCACATTTGTCTCTATCATATTTTTGCATTGAAAAAAATGTGTTATTTAAAAAATAATAGTGTTTCAAATGTAAAATAGTTTTTATTCACTCTTGTTAAAGTAAGTTGATAAATGATTTTCCAAAGGACAAGTTTTATCATACTTTTTTTCCCCCTCTCTTTTTGGTGCCTGTCCTGGGGCTTGAACTCAGGTACTCAGGGACTTGGTGCTGTAACTGAGCTTCTTTTGCTGAAGGCTAGCACTCTACCACTTGATCCACAGCTCCACTTCCAGCTTTTTTTGGTAGGTTAGTGGAGATGAGAGTCTCATAGATTTTCCTGCCCAGACTGGCTTTGAACTGTGATCCTCAGATTTTAGGCTCCTAAGTAGCTAGGATTGCACCTATTATTGCCTGTCTTCAAGGTTGTTCAGAAGTGTGGGTTAGTGTACATGACATTAGTAACAAGTGGCATGTATTAGGTGTGATGTCCCTGCATACTTTAAGGATTGTGTGTGTTAATTATGATGGACATTTTTGACAAGAGAAGGTCATTCTGATATGTAAATAGAATGTGCTCTTAGAATTAGCATACACGTGAGATCTTTAAACTATATACATTAAAGAGTAGCCTGTGCATCTCTATATGAATACAATGCATTTCTGAATTGTCCTTTTCTAGAATATATGGTTAGCTACTTAATACAAAAGAAAAAAATTAATGTCTATATTAACAAAGCTTTACTGAGAACTTAAAAAGTGTTTGAGAGAAAATTATGGGTCAAGTCTGAATAGTAGAGCACAATTCAAGTATAGCTGAAGTAGAGCTCAATTCAGGTAGAACTGTTGGTCTATTTTAAACAATATTATCTTGACATGACTTTGTGCTCATTGTTTTCTTAGTTGTGAAAGGGAGAGCACACTATTTCTGTCACACTCCCTGTGGGAATAGATGAAAGGTAATCTCTACTATCATATTAATTCTAAATGTCAGTTCTGTTTGCCAGTTGCTGTTTTTAAGGTATATATAAAGTAATTTCCTACAAGATCAGTAGTATAGATAATCCATAGCTATTCTTTTTTCTTTTTTTTTTTAATTTAATTTAATTTTATTTGTGAACATACTGTACAGAGGAGTTACAGTTACATGGGCAGGATAATGTGTACATTTCTTACCAAGCATTGCAGCCTCCTCCTTTGTTTACCCTTCACATCCCTTCCCAGCCTCCCCCCTCCCCCCCTAATCCCAATCCTTCTCCTTCCTCCCCCCCCAGCCCCCCCCCCCCCCGCACCAACGTTGTAAAGTTCGTTTTGGACATGACAACTTGTACTTCTCATTGTTGCAACAGGTCCACCTGTATCCTTAAACAACTGGTTTTTCCCCATCTCCTCCACAAGTTATACTGACATCAAATATAGTGAAAGCAAGAGTTATACTGTGGGGGAGGGACATACAAAGCAACAAAGAGATAATCTTATAAATGTGTTAGAAACACATGCATGAAAGAAAAAAACATTAAAATACACATCTAAGGGTTCATTTTCCTGACATCACATTATCTGACCTTTTCCGCTTGACTCATATATATACTAGTGCAAGTCCTGGGGCTTGAACTCAGGGCTTGGACATTGTTCCTGATATTCTTTTGCTCAAGGCTATCACTCTACCACTAGAGCCACAGTGCCACTTGCAGCCTTTTTTGCTTATGTGGTACTGAAGAATTTAACCCACGATTTCATGTATGCTAGGCAAGCACTCTACCACTAAGCCACATTCCTATCCCAATCCATAGGTTTTCTAAATACTTGGTGAGGCAGGAAATATATCTCTTAGAAGTATTACTAATGAATTGATATTGTTGAATAAATTTATAAATTACTTATAGCTATAAACATATTAATCACACAGGATGTAAGTTGTGTTTTTAAAATGCTTTCCCCCTCTTTAAATACATTGTCCACATAAGCTTGTCATGTTTGCAATTAAGTGGTGGGAAGTCCACAATTTATAAAAACAAGATTTCTGCAGAGCTCTTTGTGGTTTACCCTGTGCCTACGGGAATGATTCAGTATGAATTAGAGAGTTATAGGAACAGATGTTGCTGGAGCTCAGCCATCGCCATGTGAACTATATGACTCTGGTAGGGATGTCTTGTTGTAGTTCCACAGGGCCACATGATGGAGCACTTCCAAAAATTACTCTAGACCATAATCTTGCTACTACTTTTTCTCATGACCGTAACAGAGAACCCCAGCCTGCTCCATGACAAAACTACAGCACAGACATGGAGGCCCCTGTTTCTTGAAATGCCAGAGGAGGAAATATTTTTCCAACTAGGACTCTCTACACAATTGGGACCAGAGACTCAAAGAACCAAAGCACAGCTCACACACAAAGCTCTGTGGATGCCCTCAGCAATCTCAAGGTGACACAATCTTTTTCTTCTCCCTTCCTACACTGAAAAGGTTACTAATTCTCATGTCTCACTCAGAGTCATTCCTCACGAATCCGTGGTTAAAGAATGTGCCTGTCACTCTTCAGAGCTGAGAAGAGAAACTGATGTGTAATAGAGGTAATCCAGCAAAGTGAGGAACAGACAGAATGCCCTTCTGACTTTAGGAGAGGAGCACATGTCTTGCTCTTTTTGTACCTAAATGTGCCTCTAACATCTTAGTGGGATTTTTCTATTGTTATAGTTAATATATTAAACAGTTTTAACCAGAGAGGCTCAATCTGCATTCATTTCTCGTTTCCATTCTTTTTCCCTTCTTTTTATTTGCATACATGAATTGTATAAAAAAATTTCTTTTCTTTTGTCATTTCCATATCACATGCAATATATTTTAATAAATTTGCCTTCTCTGTTGCTCTGCTGTCTTTTGACTTATCTCCCCTTTTGAAAAATGTTTTAAGGGAATGCATTATGCTATTTTGATGCATATAATATATGCTGATCATATTTACTTTACATCACTCTGACCTTTTTCCACCTTATCTCCACTGGTTCCTTTCTCCAAACAGTCCCCTTATTATATTCATTCATGATACATTTAAACATTATATATATACATATACACACATATATCCATATTTTTTAAGGTTTAGATGCCAGAGATGAGAGAGAACATGCAAGATTTCCCTTTCCAAGTCTACTTATCTGGCATAACATGATAGTCTCCGTTTCCATCTGTTTTCCTGCAAATGACATAATTTAATTTTCCTTATGGCCAAATGATACTCCTTTGTACATATACCACATTCTCTTTATCCATTCATTGGCTGTTGTGAATGTTGTTGTAATAAATATTCATGTGTGGGTATCTCTAATGTTAACTTACATTCTTTAGCATAGCAGGATCATGGCTGCTTGTCAGAGTCAAAAGATGCAAATGTCCAAATTCCTTGGAAATTTCATATATGAAAAAAAGAAACACAGTTATAAAACTGTTGAGGAATGACTATGTTACCACCACTATTTCATGGCATAAAACATTTAAAATATAAAAATTAAAACATGTATAATAAATCTTTTGTTCTTTTTTAACATTTGAATTTCTCAGTATAATGTGAATTCTACATTATGTTTATTCTCTGAAGTTCAGGTGCCAATGAATAGATTTAACTCTATCATAAAATCTATGTGATTTTATGTAAGTGGAGTTATTCCTGATTACTTTTTGGTTGTTTTTATAAAAATTTCATATCATATCTGTCCAGATTCCCTTAGAAATAACTTTCATGCTGAAAAGATTATCTCTGAGAACTTTAAACAAGATTCTGTGCCCAAATGTGCTATGTCTAACCAAAGGTTTGGCTTTATGCTTGAGCTACCCTTGACTATGACTTCCTATTTATTCATCTCTGCATTGTTGACATGACAGACATGAGCCACCACACCCAGCCATTGTGCTTCCCTCTGTCACTGGGACATGGCTCTGCATCCCTTCATTCAGCCATAGGTCAAGATAAAGTCTCACTAACTTATTTTTTTTTTTGACCTTTTTGTTTAAAGGATGCCCTTTAAACATGATTATACAATATCTGCATCTCAAGGAAATTATAGTTACAAACTTGAGCCTCTGTGCATGACATGTTTTGCTTTCTTTCTTTTCTTTTTGGTGGGGGGGGGGGGGCAGTTGTGGGGCCTGAACTCTGGGCCTGGGCGCTGTCCCTCAGCCCTTCAGCTCAAGGCTAGCGCTCTACCACTTGAGCCACAGAGCCACTTCCAGCTTTTTTTCTTTTTGCTTATGTGGTGTTGAGGAATCGAACCCAAGGGCCTCAGGCATGCAAGGCAAGCAAGCGCTCTACCACTGAGTCACCTTCCCAACCCCTGTTGTGCTTTCTTTTAATCACAGACCAAAAAAGTTAATGAGCATTGTTATACAAATATCACAAAACTAAAATAAAAAATGTTTTTGAAAATCAGGGAAATCAGCCTAAACATTTGCCTTTGAAGGCAGTGTCTTCATACTGAAAAATTTGACCCTTATCTCATACAATGTGAATTTTCTAGAGGCATTTTCCAAGCCTGGGGAGTATTCTATTACACCAAAGTGCGAGACGAACCCAAAAGGTGGACTGTTACTTTACTGGAGAATGCCTTCTGCTGTTTTAGGGCAGTTTATTTGCCAAAGAGATCAGGCTTATCAGGCCCAACCATAATCAAGAGATGTT